CCCCCCCCCCCCCCCCCACACCCCTCTACCACTCCCCCCGGCACTCCCTTTCTAGAAATCCTAGACAATTACACTATGTAATGGAAATTTGGTACAAATGACCATGTATAAAAACAAACTATGATGCCTAAAGTATTTTTTAATGTTTTTTTCCCTAGTTCCTTCCAGCTTTTTTTATTTTTTCTGCTAGCTCATTCCATTTTTTCTAGTTCTTTCAATACTAACCTATAAATGTTCATGGTTTCAAAAAGTGGAATTTATGCCCCATTTGTCAGGGAAATTCTGGAGTTCGTAACTTTGTATTTCACGCTCCTAGAGTGGGACTAAAGTTTGAAAGTGGGAAGCATGGATGCTCATTTTTCAAACTACAGGGGATGGGAACTTATATTTTGTTCCTTTTTTATTTTTTACTTTTTGTTTCTTTTTTTCTTCTCTTTGTTTTGTTTTCATGAATTTTTTTTATTATTCTTTAAAAATTAAAATTTTTTTATGTTTGAAATCAAAAAATTAACATATATTACATCGATCTTAAATTATTCATTTTTGTTTTCTAAAACATAAAGAAAAACTTCTTATTGTGACGTTCAAGAAAATGAGTAATCGAAAAAGAAAATAAAAAAGAAATAGCAAAAGGAAATTAAAATAGAAAAAAGAAACAAAAAAAATACACCAATAGAAAAGATAACGTGTAGCCATGAAGTGAGGTGACAATTTTATTATATCAATATAAACCTTATTATATGCCGTAATAGGATTCTTATAAACTATTAGTATGGAAATGGTAAATGACAATATCGTATTTATCTTTTACTAACTTTTTCTATAACATAATTCATTTCATATATTATATCATAATGGTAATTAAATTTATTATATTTCCATTTATAAGTTTATTATCTAAAATATTACCATATTTATCTTTCACTAATTTTGATCAATAATATTATTAATTTTCTTACACCATAATAGCTAAATAAATTCATTTCTATTCATTAATAAAAACGACAATTACTCGTAAATTGCTATCAAGTAATAAATTCTTTATTTGTTCTAAAATGTTTAATCTTAATTTATTCAATAATTTGAGACAATTCAAAATATATTATGTAAGAACAATTAAGAATAGTTTATTCTACTCCTTACTATAACTCTACCCGAGTCACATTTTTTCCTAAATCCGTCACTACTTAACTTGTCGAAACAAATTGCCACATAATTTGTCCAAATATTAATATTTGTTTCCTTATATATGGATAATTTTATTCCACATCAATGCTAATAATTTTATTTAGACACTTAATATAAAGTGAAAAATGAAATTCTATAAAAATTATAGTTTTATTTTTTAAATCTTAAATTTATTGTATACAATTTTATTATAAATAGCATAACTTAAGAGGACAATATAAATATAATTTAGTACCATCATAATTGTAAACACTTACCATATTTAAAAATTGGCTAGTGATTTCTAAGGAATGAAATATAATACCGAGTAGTTTTTTAGCAATGCTAGGTTCACAAACAAAACTGTAACAAACTTTACAAACTTAGCATTTTAGATTTAAATTCTCATTTTAAAATTATTTTACACTACTTCATTTTTTTTATTGAAGTTTACAAATAGTAAGTTTATGAAATTTGTGACAGTTTTGTTTGTGAACTAAGCATTTCTCGTAGTTTTTTATAATATGTGTTCGCTTAGCTGTATGCTTATTTGTCCAAATTTTGCCACATAAGCATTCTAATAAGCGTGCCACATGTCGCAATCCTAGAAGTCTGACTCTCAAATCCTTTAATATAATATTTGAGAGTTGATAGGTTAGAATTTTGACACGTGGCAATTTTAGAGCTTTATTATTTTGACACATAAGCCTACACGTGTCTTTCCCATATTAATTCACAGCCGCGCTCCAAAAAAAGAAAGAATCCGTTTCTTCCTGTAGATCTTTCTCGATCCAGTTTTTCAAAGAAGGAAAGGAAAGGAAATCTTCTCCCCAAAACTTCTTTTCAATTTTGCAACTTCGACGGTCTTCTCTACCAAAACAATTTTCTATGAATCTGCTCTCACACTCAAGGTATGTCCGTTCTTCTTTTTCGATTTGCCGGAAGAAATCCGAGATGTCTTCTCCACCTAAAAGAAACTCTTGAATTTAGAAGATCTATGTTCCGTCTTCTCTTCTTCGCCTAAAGAAACTCAATATGTTGTTCCGTTCCCATCGGCCGTCCCTGTCCCTATCGTGTGTCTCCGCCGCTGGACTGACCTATCACTGGCATCACCAGATTTGATTGTTTAATTTCAGTCCGCCTGAGATTCAAATCGCATCTCTTCGTCTGTGTTTTCGTCCGCCGGTTCTGTTCCCTTCGCCCGCAGATTCAAGAAATCGCACGAGGGGATCCATCGCCAGAAGTTCGTCCGCCGGTTCTGTTCCCTTCATCCGTCGATCGCTGTTTTCCAGCGAAGGCCGTCCACCTGTGAAGTCCGCCGAATTTCGCCGATCACTGTTTCCCAGCGAAGGCCGTCCGCCTGTGAAGTCCGCCGGTTCTCCTCTTCGATTTTTGAAGATTGTCCGCAGGTTCTGCTCTTCAATTTTTGTGAAGTCAGATCTGTCCAGTACTCCAGTGCTTCGCCGAACCAAAAAAAAAACTACCATGGCCACCAAATTGATTGGGGATTGGTTAATGTCTTTGATTATTTTCTTTTTGAACTTTCCATGTGGACATATGTGCTTTTGATCTTCTCTCTTAATTCAGATCCAAAATACAAAAATTGATATTTGAAATTTAGAATGGAGATTCAACAGGCCAATTTACGAGATTTGTTGTTAAGAGGCATGTTTCCTCTATTCGTAATTCATTGTCATTCATCCCCATGTTTTCGTTCATATTCATTTGATATTATTCTTTGTTTTACCTTAATTACCTACAATTTCTTTAACTGTTTCATTGTATATTACATGGCACATTTTTTATTTACCAGTTTTCACGGGTTTTGTAGCTATATATAAAATATCGTGTAATAAGGAAAACATTGTATCTTCCCCTCCGAGCGTGAAGAGAATCTGTTGTTCGTTTCTCTCTCCCGAGATCCATTGCCAATTTTTTCTCCGTCTCACTGCCGTTGAGTCATTTGATTGCTCGCTTTTCTAGCATGGAAAAAGAGGTTCTTTTTTAATATATAAAAATTGTTCAAAGTTTATGTTTTTAGATATTTTGATGTTGTATAGATTAAAAAGTTGTTTCGATATGTTCAAAATTTATGTTTTTAAATATGGACAAAGAGGCTCTTTAACATTTTGTATATTCTAGATGTTGTGCTCATTAAAAAATCAGAAATATATCCGCTATATGATTTCCTGAAAGTTGGTTTTAGATTAGTTTTCAGTTTTTTTCAAAAATGTTTCGAATGGATATTTAGAATATGGGAAAAGCTTGAGAATTTTGGAGTGGGAGCGTCCCCAAGTACAACAAGAATATTTCAAGGAAATACTTACTTGAACAATCTGTGAAACATTTTTTCACAGTGATGCTTATTTGTTGTAGCTTACAGCTTAATTGTTATTCTTTATCTGAACATATATGTTCGCAATTGCTAGAAAAGGCACTTCATGCATGTGGAAATGATCTTGATTCGACTATTAAGAGCATAAATAACTTTTTTTTTGAGATTTGGTGATAATGCCACCACACATACAAGAAAGGCCCAGAGGCCAATAGACATGTTTTGAATCAAGGTGCATTTTATTTCCTTTCTCGATAATCTTGAGTCAACGTTCTTTTTTGGTAAAATGCATTATGATTTGGTCTATCTCTAAGAATGACTAACTGGGGACAATACAGATTGGATTTAATCCATTTTATGATGTAACATTCTATCCATGCTCAAAATTTGATAGGCATTGAGACCATAGCCATCAATGGCAGCCTTATGAGACCATCTTCTATTGTAAATCTTCAACTAAAGATTTCAAGAATCTTACTTGACTCATTACATGGTACTCCAAACGTGTTAACTGTCAAATATTGAGTATTTTAGGATAGAATATGGACCTCAGGCCATGGTTATAACGTAAAACATAAAAAGACTCACTTTACCGTCCCTGTGCTAAACCAACCACATGTCATTTGCACACGTTTCTCAACCTTTGCAAAATCTATCTGCTTACTTTCATTCAGTTTTCTTTCAACTACACTCAATTCCAAGTCTTCATCATAGTACATTTGTGGTACTAACCCAGTTTTGTGGTACTTTTGTGAACCTCCAGAATTGCATACACATTTTTTATAACCAACTTTCTTGTGGTAGAACAATAAAAGCGTAGGTACTTTTGTGGTAATAAATCTGCCAGTTTTTTTAGAATGATAAAAAAGGACCGGGACTTTTTTAGAGATGAAAGTTCATAAACTTATCTCATTTTATGGAACAAAATAGCCTGGAATAAAACTGCCTTTAACTAATCCACAATTTTAAAGGAAGCAACATTTATTCTTGATGAAAGTTAATAAACTTTTTTACTATTTATCATGCAGAATTTGTTTGAAGCCTTTGGCGAATCTAAGGATGATTGCTTGGAACTGAATGTGGATGTTATCACTAATTCTACTCTCAATAAAAGAGTGAAAGACATAAAAGATTATCATGGAAGTGGGGATGAGTCGAGCAAGAAGATGAATAATATCAAAATAGAAAAAAACTAGAGACTAGATATTTCATTTTACGGTTTCGATGGATCCGTCTCTTGATTTAATGTGTTTATTTAATTTTTGTTTTAGACAATTTATGATATATAACTGTTGGGTTTGTTTATGCATTACTTTATAATTAAAACGGGTTAAAGACTTTGAGACTTCCATTTCGGGCACTTATATCCATATACTGCATAATATACGGATTTTTTAATTCATTATATATTATTCTTCTTGCTTTATATTTTCGCTCTACATCGGAAATTCAATAACTAAGGGAAGTAAAATATTTAATACTTTTCATCTATTTGCAATTGTGGATTCATAATAAATGATATTAGATTTATAAATATTAATTACTAGATAGAAGTATAATCCATAAATGTAATAAAGTATATCAAAAAAGATGGATTATTTAAACTTAGAGAATGTAGAAACCTTTAAGATGTTATCCATTCGTTGACTAAGAAAGGTTAGTTTTAGATAACAACGGTAACCCTTACAATTACACCAAAAATGTGGTTTACCTTGAAGTATTCCAAAAAAACTGAATTTAATTGATATATTTATACATTATTTTCAATTTTTATATACTTGAATTTTAGCTAGCATACTCTGTTTATGTTGTATCTAACATTTTATACATTCTTTTCAATTTTTATATACATGAATTTTAGTTGGCATACTCTGTTTATGTCGTATCTAACATTTTATATTATATTTACCTTTATTTTTTAATTATTTACTTAAAACAAAAAATTAACAGAGTTAAAATTAACATGCGTTCGACCCCGTGCGTGGCACGGGTTAAATACTAGTTTTATATATAAAGATTGCACATTCCAATTTATATTCCAAATAAAAAAATTACTTATATAGTACTCCGTATTAAAATATAATAACTTTCTGAATTTGGTATCATATGTTTTAATTTCTAAATTTGGTATCATTGTTCAATGTCTACTAGACATTGTTCATATAAGTGTTCACCGCCACTGAACATTGTTCAAAGTAAATGTCAATTGACACTGGACATTATTCAAATATTATTTAGATAATAAAAATTTGTAGCTGTTGTAAACTGAATACTTTATTCATCATAGGCCGGGATATTTATACATAACACAAGAGGAGGTAAAAGTCTAGGTAAACAAGGAAACAAATATTCTAAATAATATGAGTAATATATGTGTCATATTTAACACTCCCCCTCAGGTATATCATCGTTCATTATACACTAACAACATTATACTACCAGATAATGTTGGCTAGGTTCTTCAGAACCTATATTAACTGATACCACATGATCAGTTATGTTGCATCATTAAAAACCTTACTAAGAAAACCCGATGGGACAAAACTTAGTGAAGGAAAAAAGAGTACATCGTGTATAATGTTTTCTCTCAAAATAAAATTATACTCCCCCTTAAACTAATTTATATCTTTTAGCCTGTGAAGTCTAATCTTCTGTGTGAGTTGCTCGAAACTATGTCTAGGCAGATATTTGGTGAATAAATCTGCTAAATTTTCACTTGATTTAATTTGAAGAACATCGATCTTTCCTTCTTTCTGCAGATCAAATATTGAGAAAAACTTTGGTGAGATGTGCTTCGTTCTATCTCCCTCGATGTAGCCTTCCTTTATCTGAGTTATGCATGTTGCGTTGTCTTCATATATAATCGTTACATTCTTCTTGACGTATCCTCCTTGTATAGGATTGATCATCGATCTCTATCATGCCCGCTCTCGATCACTGTCATAAAATTCTATTAATACGACTTGATTTAATGTTGTTGTTTGTGTTCGCTCAGTCAACTTCCAAGAAAATATCGTATCGCCATCTGTGAACGCATTACCTGTCTAATTTCACACTTAAATTTGGTACTTCTGGACCAAGTACTTTTTTGCCCTCTTCTTGGAGGCGATTAGAATGTTTATGTATATATATGATCGAGTGAACAACCATGGGTATGTTCATAAGATGAACTTTGTCCATATTTGAACGCGTTAACATCTTCTGGATGTAGTTTAACTTATAGATAAATCACAAATGCCCCATCATATAGGTGTTTAAAATATAATCCGATGCATAATTTATGTCATGTCAAGATCTTCCATCTCAAATTCTCTCTTCAAGAGTTCAACAGTTTTTCCTATCTCTTCAGGAGATCTAATGATATTTATACGTCGACGTAAATTGCTATAATAACGAATATTGAGAGCGATTTTTTAATGACAACACTTACGTTGATTTCAGATTTGCATCTTTCTCTTTCGAGATATTCACTGAAACAATTGTACCACATATGACCAGATTACTTGAGACCATACCACGATCTCTTCACACATATTTCGATGTATTAATTTTACTGCTTTTGACATTTTGAACCTTTAAGGAATTTTTCATACAGATGTCATTTTCAAGTGTCCTTATAAGTATGTTATCATGTCATCCACATGTATCATTTCAAGTCCTTTTGAGATTGCGAGAACAACTTAAATTCTAAAAAAATATCGCATCCACTACTAGAGAAAACGTTTCCTCATAATCAACTCATGGGATTTGGGAACAACCCTTACATTACAAGTAGTACTTTATATCGCACAATCTCATTCATTTTATTTCTGTTTATTACAGACACTCATTTATAACCTTTTAGTTTGACGTCTATGGGTGTTTAGATTCTAGGTCCGAAAATATTTCGTTTATGGAGTGAGTTATATTTGACCTTCAGGGTCTTTTTCCATTTGGCAAATCATTTATGTAGTTTGTACATGTACTCTTCTTTGAATTTTAGGTATGTAATCTCTTTTATTAATTACATCCATTGCTATAGCATATGCAAAAATATTATTAACACGTGTTTCATTTCAATTCCACATTGTACTATCTTGTACATTATTAAGTAGAGATCTCATTTTCTTTCAGTACCGATGTTTCTTTAAGAAACTTATTCTTCTGGAATTGTATTACTCTCTTCCAGGACATTTATCTCTTATGGGGTTTCATTCATTATCCTTTATGTGGTTCGCTAGTATCATTGCTTTGCGATTTTCATTTTCATGGGTTCTTATTGTAACACTCCAATCCGTATAACCCGGAATTACACGTATTAAGGTGAAACGAGGGTTAATTAAAATATTTCGCTTGACATTTGAAAATGACAATTTCTTATAAACTTGAATTTACAGACTCTGGATCGCGACCCGTTTAAAAATATTTTCAGAGTAATGTGGAAGTACAATAATAATCAAATCATGACACATTTTAAAATCTTGATGATCAAACATTTTCCTGACATCCTTGCATCTCCTCTGACTCAATGCCCTCCGGGAGTGGTTCCATCATAGTCTTCTTGTTACCTACGTGTAGTCAACGAAAAATACAAACTACACGCTCAGCGAAACCGCTGAGTGGTACCACGCTAGAATTGTAGAACAATTCATAGACATATACATATACATATATATACGTCCACAAAATGTATAATAATATTCATGATATGGCACATTATATCATATGATCAATTTGATGATTCATGATGATAAATATTTATTGATGATTACATGATGGCACTTTTAATCAATATAATTGTTCTTGATGATGATTACATGACACCTATGTAATCAATGTACTTGATGATGATAACATGATTTCACATTTAATCAATTTGATTGTTCTTGATGATGATTACATGACACCTATGTAATCAATATAATTGTACTTGATGATGATAACATGATGCATGAACCTAAACGTGCAAGGACGATCCTTGCGCTATGATATTCGCCCAGGTTGTATGACGAACTCACGCCACCTTAGTCTCACGAATGAGGTGAGAGTAGAAAAATAGGGGTGGTACTCAAAATCCGGAATACCATGTACGTACACTAAGCCCGGTCAATGATGTCGGACTGCTAAGTCCCGCACAATCACGCTATAAGAGACGCACGAGGCATGATCTCTTACGCATGCATATGATGTGATATGCTTCAATATGAATGATATGATGTGAACAATTTGCAAACAATATGAATATATAATCATGCATAAGTTTATTTGGTTGAAACATGATTAAAATATCATTTAATCAAGCTATTGGGCTCGGAACGGTCCACCGTTTGACACGGCGGTCGACCGTGGTTCAATTCATCTCGGAGAAACGGATCACCGTGACGGTCAACCGTGCCTGGGCGGCGGTCGACTGTTGTTGACTGGTTGGACGTAGCGGCGTTCGGCTGGGTTGCGACGGTCGACCGTTTGGCTACGGCGGTCGACCGTACCGTTGACAGTCGTGGTCCGTTTAGGTAATTTTATACGACGGTCGACCGTTTGCATCGACCATTTGGGTCTGCGAATCTTACTCTTGATATTTTGAGTGTCCAAAATACTTCTTTAAGCCTTTTAAACACCTTTGATTAACATGTACATATTGTTGGGTTGATTTCCAAAGTTTATATCTACTTATGTGTATATTAACTTTATGGATTTGGAGTATTTTGATCTCAACATGTAGATGACTTATATATGTATCACATATACATTTTGGAGATAGTTTCAACATATGGATTAACATATATGTTCATGTATGTATGTGATGAATGATTCGACAAGTCTAACGCAAGGGTACAGACTTGGAAATCATCGGCCGAAACCTTACGGATGAACGGGAGTGGAAACAACATCGAAATTCACCAACTTTGTCATTCTCTTCACAATTGGACAGCCTGCCGTATTTTGGGCATATCTCCATCGTTTCTTCACGGAATCGCAAACCGTTTGATTCCGTGGATTCCTAAGATGTAAGGCTATAACTTTTGTATAGAAAGTATTTCAAGTTAACAGATGTAAGATAGCGTAAATTGGTCCTGAAGTCAAAGGATAGTTGCTGTCCAGGATTTCGGATATGCCAATGAACAACGATTCCGACAATTAACTCATTAACTTCAATATTCCAACACCGAACCTTCTCTATGATACCTTCCGGATGTTCCTAATAATCGTTAGAGAGTTTATGGTATGTGTTTGGAATGAAACAACATGAATATGGTGAGGAAAATGGTCCAACCCGAGGAGCTCGCCAACACTGGCGCAGTCCCGGTATTTTGGCCTTATCTTCTTCGTTACTTAACGAAATCGCAAGCCGTTTGTTGGGCTGGATTCGTATCGTCCGGGGCTACAAATTTGGTTCAGAAAGTATTTCAAGATAATGGATGGAAAATTACAGAACTTACGAAGAAGTTGATGTTGCGTTTGGAACTCATGATTTGGAAACTATGGATGGTTTCTTGCTTGCTTTTCCTTCTTCCTTAGCACACATCCATGGAGCATTTTTGTGTTTTCTTCCTCCTTAGTTGCTGCCGACAGAGAGGGAGTGAGAAAAGAGAGGGGTTGTGGGTGGTGTGTGGAAGATAATGGTAATGATGATGAGAATTTTGGAATGATATATAAGAAAGTTGGACTTATTATGTAGTGGAATTGTGAGTGGGTTTTATTGGTGACTAATTGAAGATTTGGGGGAGATTGGCTGCGTAATTGAGAGAAGTTTGAGAATTAAAGTTTTGGCTTTTAGCAAAAACTGAACAGTTTACTTCAAACGGTACATGCTTTTTCGTCCAAACTGTTCCGAATTAAAAACGGATTGCGTTTTTGGAATGAGACGGTCAAAACTAGAATTTTGACGTAATCAAAATATTTTTCTAAGAATTTTATTTTTCTCAGTGTTCGGATCTGTCTTAGTCATAAATTAATTTTATAATATGAATGAGATATAAATATAAGAATTAAATCAAAATGATAAATATGGTGTTGTCAAGTGTCAAAGATTAATATTCTAATCTTATGAAATCAGTTTTGAATTGAGTTTAATTTATGGGTCAAACTTACAAATTTTAATATTTAAAATCGTCATAGCTTGAAACATATAAATCAGATTGATTCATAAAATGTATCGTTGAATTCGTCTCTTCAAGACATATCCATAAAAATAAGTATTTAACAAAAAGTCATATTTTTGAAAATCCATTTATTTTTGGTCAAACGTATAAATATTCCTTATTGGACAAAAATTACTTTTGTTTTATAATAAATTTTAGGCCATATTTTGTGGCGTTACATTTTCTTTGAAATCGATTATTCTCCCACAATATCTTTTTGTATAATATTCACTTCTAGGACTTTCATAAATTTAGCGATGCATAAGATGCTGGTATATGTAACTTGTCACTCTACTCGTATATGTGAATGCATCTCGTAATTCATTTGCTCTTCTTTGCAAATCAGACTTCAAAATCGCACTGGCCACTTCAGGAGTCGAAAATTTGCGATGATGATGCATTCCATGTAATTTATTCTATTACCAGTCTTTCTTTATTCGTGTCTCCCCTAAGACTGGAATACTTTATCATAAAATTGAAATTCAACATACTGTAATGTAAATATATCTCTTGTTAAAAACTCTTAACATTTAACAATAGGCGGGGATTTATAAACAAATGTCAATTACCCAATCTTCTCTATTATCTTGGATGCATTGTGGGGGTCTGGGGGAGGGGGCACATAGGACACACAATTAAATATTTTTAGAAGGGATTTGATTCTCTTCGGGAGATATCAAGTGTAAGAAACTCAAAATTTTGAAAGTTTGACATTATATCTACCAGGAAGGATTTATTTAATAAAACTGAACATGTGTATACAAAATATATATTTAGGATAACTTCTAGTTCTATAAAATAAGACCATTGTTTTTTAATGGTTGAGAAAATGTCAAGAATTCAATTCTTAACAGAGCGTTTACAATTGACACATGAAATTTATATAGTGCATTTTATTTGCAATATCTTATATCTTTGTTGAACTTCAGGTTCATATCCTCTTCAATAGAATAATATATATAATCTAGCATATTTCATGGAATTTATCTTCCATTCAACTCCTTCAAAAATCTTTCTTTAGTGTCTACCTACACTTATAGCATCTAGATAACTTGCCTTGGATAAGCCCCTCAAGCATCCGCACTAATGCATTTCAACTCATATGAGGATTAAAAAAATCAACATAGGATATTTTTTCAGAATCAAAGGTCTAGCTACTAACTGGAGTCATTTCATAAATAAAAAACCCTTGCTAGACATTTTATATATTAATTAGAGTTGTAGGCTCTTTCTTGTGACTAATGAAGTTTGCCATAATATAAAAATTATATCCATAATATAACATATGAACGGATCTCGTAAACTTCGAGTTACGAGTTAATATTAAACAAATATGAGAAATATAATGATGCATCATATCATATATAACATTTAAATTGTCATCACAAATAGTTGATGGACACAGTCAATTATCCTTGAAAAATTTCTAAATATACATGAAATGAATCTCAACTTTCATTAGTAATAATTTCACAATAATTTTATAATCAGAACAAGACTATAAGATCTTCTGGTCCTAATAATAACCGAAACTTCTGGTCCTTCAAATAGTACTCACTTAAGCTCTTAATGATTTTTCATAATCGCAAACTAAATCGAGATAATTTAATTGGCTTTGTTTAAAATAAAAATTGGTTCAGTAAACTTTTTGTGTACATTAAAACAAATCCCAATCAAGTGTCATATAGTATTCATTTCCACTGATATCTTAAAAATTAATAGAGGCTCTGAAACAATAAGGATTTGTCTGCACACAACGGGATATTCGTCAATGCAGAATAGTAACTATTCTCTCAAAATATTCAATATTTATGAGACTTTTATAACTTCTATTATGCAATGCTCTTCTGAAGTTATCTATAAGTTTTGTATAACAAGAAAATTATATTTACACTAACTTCTTTAATCACAAGTGAAAAGAATCTCTTGCATCTAAAAAATAAAGAGAATATAAAATATATAATTACTCCTTTGATTATAATATACTCACTACATCATTCTTCAGGAATATTGATGAGGAATCATATATAGATTACAAATCAGAACTTGAGTGGTAATTAGAAATTGTAAGACATTAAGTAGTACCTCATATACCATATATTGTGTTCAATATTCTTCTGGAATATTGAGATTAAAATAGTTAATGTTTAAAAAATGTAATTCTATGTGACCATATTGGAGACTTTGATATGTCCATATATATAACCACAATAGTTGTGATAGCCTATTATATTCACGCATGTCAATCAATTTGTTACTCGCTTCAGGGAGTGAATAGTAACATGATTTTTTTCATAATAAAAAAATCTTTCATAACAATGGGGAAAAATATAACAAAATATGGGGTATATGAATTTTTTTCTTATACTACCACTTTAGAGGAAATTGATTATCAAACACTATTTTGTAATCTCAAATCACATATAACATGCAATTACATATATTGATCACACAAATTTTATTGCAACTGCGTATATCACATTGAAATATAATGTCATTGCATACGGAGAAAATGCATTGAACAAATTATTTTAAAAAAACCATTAGGCCATTTTACTACTAGAAAATGGTAAATGCATGATTTAAAAAATTCCATTTTGTTATTTGCTTTGAGAGATTATGGAGTTTAGAACAAATATCAAACTAGTATTTCTACTCGTGCCATGCACGGGTTCGGACAAAAAAAATTCGATTATACAATGTGGATCTTGATTTTTATTTCGAATATTATTCAAACGACAAATATAAATGATCTAGGTTTGATATATTTCCACAAATCTATAATTTTTCTCCTTGTATAAATTCAAATATATATTAATACAAAAAGTATTAGTGATCCAATGATTCTTTTTCCTCATATTAATTTAAAAAACCTAAATTACCGACATTATAATTATATACTCCCTCTGTCCCTGAATATTTGTCCACTTTTGATTTTTTTATCAAAATTGGTAATAATGTAATGATATTCAAATAAGGTATTTTTCAAAATTAGTGTTATTAAACATTAATTATCTATGTAATACTTTATAGTTGAGATTTATTCACTCAGTGTCTTTCGTATATGTTTGTTAATTAAATGGATGTTCATTGGAGGAAATTTAGGTATTTTCAACATTTAAATGTAAAGTAATTTTTCAAAATGACCCTTTTAGATTAACCTTTTTTCTAATCTAGGTCTCCGTTATAATAATAACAATTTTATCTCAATTGTGCATTTAGGGGCACCTTAATGCTTTGTGTCCCTCTATTAGGCACTCACGTTCACGCTAGTAAATTTCGAATGAGGATGACCTCGCCTCCGATCCCCCACTCCATATCTATGTAGAATTTTGATAAAATTCACGTATGAAAAATACGTGATTCGTTTTTTTTTTTGCAAATATTGTTTTGTTGTATATACCCCATGCAAATATTTTTTTGTGTTTTTTTAAAAAGTAGTAGTTGTGACTTCAATGAAGTCAAAAGTGAAAAACCTATAATTATTTTAAAATGTTTTTGTAATTTTTCTTTTGTGAAAACCCTTGCAACTATATTTGTTTTGTTGTTTAAAAATAAATTCATATCAAGTGAAGAAAATTTTGGATGTAAAATACATGTGATTATTTTTACATGATAATTTTTTAAAATTTTATGTGAAAAATGTAACTATTATTTTAGAAGTTGATTTTAAAAATTTATACTATTATTTTAATTATTTTAGAAGTTAATTTAATAAAAAATTTTATTAAAAAAATGAATTTTAGTTCTCACTCAATTGCATAAAATTTCATGTAGGTTTTGATTTCTTCAATAATACTTCCTCTGTGTTTGGATTTGATCTTCTCAATTGACTTTTCTTGTCAATTTCGCATGCTTTAACCTCGATATATAGAACAAACATTGTCTTTCAATAGAAATGCATTACCAATAACTTCCTTTTGAAACTAAGGAATCTCTTAATGTTTGGTAGCTCCTATTTTGGAGATCAAAAAATATGCAATTTTATTTTGGTACTTTCTCCATGTTTATTCCTATTCAGGTACAGATTATTTTTTCCAAAAAATTATAGCGACTCTGTATATAAGACATATACTTTGTATACAACTTAAATTGGATCTACCTATATTTTGATTAAAATTGTCATGTCATTCAATCATTAATAGGAGGCGGGTGATTTCTTAAAATGTTGCCATGTAGATTCGCCACTTGTCGCAATTCTAGAAATTTAATTCTCAAATTTAATATATAAAGATATTTCTTTTATGAAAATACTTTCATTTGAAAACAAAAATTTTATCATTTATAAACACTATTTATATAAAAAATAAATAGTTTCAAAGACTATCAATACTGTGATGTGAATATATATATATATAATATCTCAAATAAAATTTAAATCTTGATAGATTTTTTATACTCCCTATCATATATTTAAGGAAATATTAATTATTAAAAAAGTTATTGAATACATTAAACCACAAAGTTTTTATATTAAAAATTATCTAATATACATAAACCCATAATGCACTAAATTTCTTTAATACATTTCTCATCTTTAATTAGTGATATAACATGAGCTACTCCAAAGTATATTTTAGCTCAATAAATTTTAATACAAAAGAATAAATTAATAATTTTAAAAAACTATATTATACTCAAAATAATTTTAATATTATTTTCATTTTTATGAAAAAACATCTGAGCTAATCATGATTAGTTTCTTTTTTATGATTAATTTATTTAATTTTTGTTGAAAAACTACATTTATTTCATTTACATAATTTTCAATAAATTCAAAAGTCCATAATTTTTTAATATAAAATATATTGTTTTAAACTCATCATATTTTAAAGGTTATCATAAATAAATTTCAATAAATTATGAATGAGAATTTAAACCATGCCATGTAATTTATTCATGTGCCATGTCATTTAAAAATTGCCATTTAGGATGACACATGTCAACTTTTTGGAGACATGAGTCTCAAATATTATATTAAAGGATTTGATTTACTTTAGGGACAAAATTTGACACTTCAATTTAAGTTCTCTTTTATATGTCATATGCTCCATATTTCTTATATACGAATCAACAACAACATTAATCACATTAGGGATTACGTAATAAAATATGTATTTTTTCCACAAATCTTTCATACCAAAGTACAAAAATATAAACAAATATGGAGTGTATGGAATCTTTAACTTTCTGCTTTTAGCCCTCATGGTTATTGTTGCAGATATATCGAGTTCGAGAAAATCAAGTTTTGAAAGATTTGACATTTTAACTACCAAAAAAATATGTTAAGGCAAGTCAGTATATATAGAAATACACTCTTGGACAACTTCAGGTACGGTTCTAATGTGCAAGAAATGATGGTTTATCATTTTTCTTTAACAAAATATCTTTCGAGTTGATTTTCAAGGGTAAAATTCATAAGTTGAAAGGAAAAAAAAAATTAAAACATCTTCATACCCAAAGATGGACATATCTCATAAAAAAATATACCGCTTCAGTAGTGTTTTTAAAAAAAGGGTGTAGGCCGTACGGTGGTTTTTTTATACAAATAGCTTTCTATCCCATTATTTTCTTAAAAAGAATACAGTGTATTTTTAAAGGCCATCCATCTACTGGATTATCAATGACCTAGACATATACATAGTAACATGCTATTGAAATTACTGTGTGCATATCCTGGAACAGAATAATATGCATTTAACCATGAGTGGTCATTATTCAGGTGCAAAACAAATTGATCCAAAAAAATATAGTGAAAAATTGCAGGCATTCAAATGATATATCATGTTCAAATACTGCAGGCATTCAAATGATTCAAAACTTTGTTCTATAAATATTGCAGGCATTCAAATGATTCAAAAATTTGTTAATGCAAAGTAAAATCTTGAGAGTCATTGATGCAACAGATGGGTGTTCTTAAAAAAAATAATTTGAGAAAAACACAGAGGGGGACAATATATAACAAAAAAAATGATCGAGTAGCAGATTGAAAATCGCCAATTTGGAGCAGAAGGAAAACTGGAAAATCAATTCTTAGAATACCTGGACTTTTGGGATCAAACATTTGGAGAAGAAGATCTAGAATTTGGCTCTGCTCTGTTTCTTTTGTCGATCTCGAATTTGAAGAATCCGAAGCCTGGAATTTTGCTCTGTTTCTTCGCCAAGATTGATGATGGTGGAATCACTACTGGTCGGAATCACTACTGCTTTGCTCCTCCTTTTTTTCTCTGATAGAGGAAGCCATTATGCTCTGCGTCTCTGTTCGTTTCTTTCTTTTGATTTTATTGAGGAAGCGGCACTACACAAAAAAACTAGGGTTGGCTATGGTGCTCATGTTGTAAACTAAATGCTTGGGGTATTATACATTCAAGTCTAGGTAAATAAGGAAAAAATATTTTAAACAAAAAAACCAACTCACCCCACCCTATTACATATTTCCTCCTTCTACCCATACCCACCCAATCCACCGTACCTCTTTCCCTCCTACTCTCTCTCTCTCTCTCACTCACCAATCCTAAAATTGCCAGCCGCTAATAACGACCGAGACCCCATCTTCAACGGTTGGCTTCATCGCCAACCGCCAACCGCATTGCGCAGCGTGATCTCCACTGCTCTCATACTTGCACCATCTATCTTTCAACACCATCACCTTCCACCGTGACTGTGTTCTCTGTCTTCCTCCTTCCCGTTAAAGATTCTTCAAAATACAGGTATTTGAAATAAAACTAATGATATTTGTGCTTTGTGATGCTGATATGTTCCAATTTCCAAGACAATTATATTCCCCTCATTGCACTGTTTTTAGTATTTTTACTCACAGATATGCATCCATTTTATGGAGTATTTTCTTTTTCTTGCGTTTCATTTGAGTAGCATTTTGTTGGTCTATTATTTATCTCGTTGGTCTATTATTTATCTCGAATCTTTATTTTTTTATTCAGGTAATAGAAAAATCAGAAATGCTAAGATTGGTTTTTAGAGCTAATTTTTTATTGTTAGTTAATGAGATTATATAGATGCTTTTGTTGGGAAATGAGGCTTGGACAACGCAGCAGAAAACAAAAAATTTAGAGTCCAAAACTCGATTCCACCCAAGAACAACTTACGTAAATTACTAGTTATAGTAAAAAATTTACCTTAACGGTGAAAACGGAGAACAGAGAAACGGCCGGGGATGGTTTTGAGGAGAAGAACGTAGCGCCAAATGTATGAGGTCTCCAACATATCCACACGAACTTGTTCCGGAGTCCTAGATTAAACTTGTTCTAGCAAGTTTGATATAGGAGTATAATATTACTACTTTAGGGAGTAATAAATATATAGTAAAATATTTATCTTATAAATATTTTTTTATAATATTTTGTGTATATTTCTAACACTTTAAAAAAATAACTTTGAACACAAAATAAAATATTTGTTGTCTCTTTACTGATATGGCCCAAATCAATTGTATGTCATAGGGAGGGATTCTTTTTTTTCATTTTATAATACATAACTTAAAGTAAAGACCCATGAAACTTCCTTGAGACATTAAGGTGTGATAATGAGGTTATCAAATATTATGTCTCTAACCACCATAACGAAACAAAATAGAATCCCTACATAAAATAATAATCAAATATATCAATTTGACATTAAAAATACTTTATGTATAAAACCAAAATGGCCTTGTATTTTTCCCTTAAAAAAACGACACTCTCATATTAAAATGTACACTATATTTTATTTTGACATCAATAATTATTATAATTAAAATGATGAAAATAAATTTTATATATATATATAAATATAAAGGGGTATATTGTAATCTGTCTTGGTGTATGAGATTCTGTTACTGTTCTATTTGATTTCGATGATGCGCGAGGTTTGTTTGTTACCGAGTTCTTTGATGAATGGGAAAATGGATGGTTTGCATGTTCAAATATATATATACATACATATATATATATATATATATATATATATAATTTGTTTTGTCAAAATATAATAATCATATAATTAAAATGACACAAACAAAATATAATTTTAAAATACATATGTATTTTCAAAACACACACACACACATATGTGTGTGTGTGTGTATAATTATCACAACTATATATTTAATATTACTCCCACTAGTGTAGTATACTACTCCTTTGCAAGTCCTAAGTGTGTGACCCTTTAGCTATCCATAATACTGGCAATAATATTAATGTAAATTAATACCATAGATAATAAGCGGTATCTAGCAACACATTATTACCCCCAGATTATGAAAAATACATTCATCTCATCAATACCTTTTACAACACAAGACGTTCTATAACTATTATCCTTCTGTCCTAAATGTCATGATTTAACACAAGACATGGGATGTGTATCCTTGTATAGTTAAATTAGCTGTTACTGAATCTCAAGTAGACTGGCAGGGATCAGATATTTATTAGTCTCTGGATAGCGACATATCTAGGCATGGCCATGCACTTTCCCAAGTCCTAGTATTCAGTGGGCCCATTGACATTATACTTCTATACAGTAGAAGGGACAGATCATATATCTGTTATTCACATCTCTAAATACGCTTAGCGGCATACCCAACGCATAACTGTACGTCTACTAGTATTTCAGATAGCATTAGTTATGAATCCAAGCATATGGCCCCACATATCAGAGAATGTAATAACTTCAAGTCTGAGGATAGTTATAGCAAGGGTCGAATTTAGAATACTGATAAACACATTACTGTAGATCCGTGCAGTATTTTCAAGATGGGTCAATCCAGTCACATATTATCGATATAATACACACTTACGTACAGATTAAGATATCACAATATCTACTAGTCTTGATATGTTATGACGTCCGTATTATCATAAAGTGCGACTAGGGATATTATAGACATAGCCTTCGTCAAGAAGTAACAGACTCATAATCAGATCATTGTAGTCCTCATCTATGTTACTGAAGCGCCATCGTCTATGGACTGAAGCCATGTTATGTTACACAATATATAAAACATACTTCAAGGCCTTTCATTCATGATAAAGTGTACAATTACATAAGTATTTGATTGCCGCTAGGGCACCTAAATACAACAGCTTTTAGCCTCTTGTTAGGCGTGTCGTAGCACCTACAAATTAATTTATTATTTTCCTTAACTCTTAACCCCCTTTATGAATTAAAATTCATTAAAACATATAGATAGGGCAAGTAAGGGTCGATTCCACAAGGAAAGATACTTTTTAGGCTATGAAAATCAGTTTACTTTGTCACTTTTATTAACTAAAAACTACCTAAACTAACAAATAAAACTAAACTAACAGATATGGGAGGTTTGAATGATAAGTCTAAAAAGATAAAAATGCAAATAACATAAAGATAAAGGATAACAGATAAGAGATACAAGATGAAACCACAGCAACAAACCGAACTCAGAAGTAAACTCAGGGAGAAAACAAACACACAAACAAACACACATTTAAACTTTATAAAAAAACTTAGATAATAATAATTAACTTAAACCATTTTGAAAATACTTATAGTTTTTAATAGAAAATAAACTCAACAAATCTGATTGATCAATTAATTATGTCTTAATCCTGAAAGTAAATTGCTAATTAAACTCAGGGTTAAGCTGAAGAAGAGATCCATATGTGATTCTTCCCTATTCCCCCTAATATAGCCTATGTTAAGACCTGCCCTAACTCTAGACCCTACTATTCTTAACAACCCAAGGACCTGCCCTCAGATTTAATTAAAAATAGAGCATTAAGTTCTTTGGAAAACATCACTTAACAACTATGCAGTAGATTATATCTATTTAATATAGCCAGCTTGAAAACTCTGATTAATAAAAACCGGGTGGGAGCCAATTAAGTATTAATCAGGTGACACTTGTGTTTTAAAAATCTCAGCTATAAACATACTCAAGATCTTAAAACTGTCAATTGAAATTAGAGTTTAGGTGGCCGTCCTAAATTGATCTAATCCAAGTTTAAACAAAGACCAATTTTCAAACACCTTTTCGAGTTTAAATTTGACAGTAGCACAAAGGCTAAAACTTCAAAGCCAGATTATATAACAAAAACAATCAAGCCAAAGATTCAATCATTTTTGTCAAACAATTCGGTCTACGAAAGTTTTATAATCCCAGAGACAATAATTAATCAATAAATCAAATGTGAACAATTCAACATCAACACACAAACAAATCATCACTTATAATATCACTTAAACATTTAATAAGAATGAATAGAAATTGAACACAAACAAATACGGAGTATTAAGTATTGGACAATCAAAGTCATAAATTGAGAATTTTATAACTAAGGATGTCTAATTAAAAGTAATGAAATTAAAAAGAATTAAGTTTCTACCCTGTTGCTGTCTTCATTTGCTGCTGCGCCAGAACCAGAAGCCGTGACGCACAGTACTCAAGTTGCTGCCGTCCTTAGCTGCTCCAGCCATTTTCGCCGGGATCCAATCGTCGCCTCCTTGCCGGAATTGTCGCCATCAGACTGCTGGGCCTAGGGTCGAACCCTAGGCCGGCTCTCGCTCTCTCGTCCGATCTCTCCTCTCTTCTCCCCGATCTGTTTTTTTCCATCTGGTCTCCTCTCTCCTTTTATAATTCAAGTAGAAGAGTTTGAATAAGAGAAGAATTGTGTCTCGCGTTGGATTCCCGTCTCTTGCGCCTTCTTCTTCGTTTCTTGGTTGCGTTCGTTTCCTGCGCTTGGGATTTGGGTGGAGTAGCTTTTTTGGAAAATGCTAGCTCTAAACCAAAAGTGTACCCCAAACATCCCTGTCCCCTCCATTAACACAAAAAAAGCAAGAAAAATTCAAAAAAAATAAAAATTTTCTTTGCTCTCTTTATTTATTTAACACATATATTTCTTATGGGTCAAATTTGGACTTAGCCCAATCTTCACTCTTATTGCTTCAAAGGTCCAATAATGCTATCTTCCTCAACTATTATTTTTTTTGAAACTCTTCCTCAACTATTATTGTTCTAAAATATATCCAAAGAATTATGTCAAGAAAAATAATACTTCCAAAATAATTATCAAATAATAAATATGTTCAAAATCATGCATTTTATGTATAAAACGTAAACAATGGCTTAAAATGCCAAATATTAAAAAATATTCTCATTTATGTATAAAATGCATATTAAATATTTTAAAAGTACTAAGAAATGTGGGAATAAAATAGTATTTTGTAACTCAACACCTCTCAATTCAATTTTCACTATAAATGTTCTTGCTCTAACATCTTATGCTAAAAAGAGTTTGAATGATTAGAATTCACTCTAAATAAGACTAAAACATAGAAAAGTACCAAAATAGGATTTTCATATATTTATTCCAGAAATAGGAGTTCACACTATGGTAATGTGGAGGTAATGTGGCACTGTACATGTGCACATTATTATACTTTTTGGTAATGTACATGACCATGTTTGATAATGTAATTTTTTTTAACTTTTATTTCGAGAGTAAAAACATAGAAGTCTTATTTTAGTATATTTTCAATGTTTTATTCTTACTTTAGTCTCTTTTTTTCCTTGAATGATCTACAGCGTGGTAGCTACTCAGGCCCTCATTATTATGCAAACGAAAAGACATAATTGGACTTGAATAGCTTTTATGAATGCTCTTACTTGATTTTTGGTTGTTGGATCTATAGATTGTGTCATTGCTTTTACTTCATATTGTAGCTTTGGATTTTCATTTCACAAATTGGTTAGATTCCAGGTCTTGATGTTCAAGCCACCCCTCTTATTGTATATTTCTTTATTTTTTATAAAAAACATATCTCTTAATATATTCTATTTGTGTGTATTAATTCTGGTATATTCAATCATAACAATTTATAATTATGAAGAATGTTAAAGTAACAATTTAGTTTTATTTATGTCAAGATTTTTTGTGTATTCAATCATAATAAGATTTTATGTATATTCAATCATAATATGATTTTATGTATATTTTGTCAAAAAAATCAATCATATAAGATTTTATTTGTCAAAAACATTATTTTTATTTTGAGAAATCATCTTATATTGATCATAACTGATTGCTATCAAAAATAGGATTTTAGAGCTCAAAAATAGAATTTTTAGAAAAGTATTCGGATAAACCAACTCGGGGGTCGATCCAGGGCTGGTGATTGAGCATCTCTAGCGATCGATCACCTAGAGAATTATGTCTATTGTTCATCGTCTTCTTTCTTGGGTCCAATTATAGTCACCAAACTTCAATTAAGCTATATAAGAATGTTCTCGAAGGTTCATAGACTATTTTGGTATCATTAGCTTGTAGTTTTAACATCAATTTCAAGGTTTATGACTCTGGTCTTCTTCAAGCATGTCAGAAACAAATTCAACCAAACGACCGTTTATGAACGTAGAAACGATCTATTTGAAAATTTTAGTCACTAGATATATCTACGGGCTTACCTCGGGCTTAAACGGAGGTTTTGGAAATTTTCCGGCGAAACTTTCGGCGACGATAACTCCCAACTCTGGCGACTTTGATCTCTCTAGGCAGCACCTCTATACTCTCCACACTCTAAGGAACTCACAGCAAGAAGAAAGAGGAAGAATGGTGGATATATGTGCGAAAGTAGTCTTCTTATATAGACATGTGAAGAAGAAAAAGACACAGATCCTGACTCCTCTCTGACTCTACGATCGGCTAGTGCGCTGGGAGGCGCCGTATGCACAGTTTCCCTGATTGGGACTAATTTGGTACCAGTTGAGGTACACTTTTTTGTCCAACTTTCTCCGAATTGAAATTCGTTTGCACCGTTGCGATCCGACAGTTAAACTCTATCCAACAATATATTCTTTATATTTATTTGTAATACTTTTTCCGACATCATATTTTTGGGTGTTTGACTTTGACAGAGTCAAAATAAATTTAGTTGACCTTTATTCAAAAAGGTTCTCTCATCCAATTCATATTATTTATTCTCATGATTTATTTTCAATAAATTATTTCAATGTTTACATCATAAACAGATTCTTCATTTATTCTTAATTTGGCTCTGTACGCTGGTTTCCAATTAAGGTTACACATAAAAATACACATATTGGATTTATCTTTATGAGATTTATCCAGATTGTGATATTGGATATCCAAACACATTTTATTTCGGCCCAAAGCCTAACAATAATTTATTTTAATCAAAACAAATTTGATTAATTGAATAATGACTAATAATAAATTTTAGGGTGTGTTTTCGAGAATTACACAAAGTGTGAGCTATTGGTGATTGAGCAACTTCCCCTAACTGTAGAAGGCCATGAAGAGGGTCCGATGATGGGAGAGGTAATTCTAGATTCTTAGGAAGAGGGTGACCAAGTTGAGTTTTGAAGCCCCCATGTCAAGCTTTGTGTGCATAAGAAAGCACACGTGTTAAAGATTCTGTTCCCATGATGGGATAAACCGAATTAGCAAAATGCAAGTGTACTTCTTAACTCTTCTCTACTTAAAATTTTCAGTTTCTTACGTGTTGTGATGATTTTGTGGTTCTGATTTCCTGTGTGTGCCCCTAGACCTTGACCCTGTTGTGATAAGTTTTGGGCTACTATGCGTGCTCATCTTTCACTCTTAAGCTTCTATGTGTGTGTGCCTTAATCCCCTAAACATGCTATAATGACGTTTGTGTGAAAGTGTGTCCCATTACCTTCTACGAAGTTTCTGTTTGTGTGCTCCAAGCCCCTGAGAATGTTGTGATGACTTTTGGGTTGTTCTGTATCCCCATATTTTAGTGCTAGCTAGGGTTCTTTGTTTGTGTGCCTTTAGCTCCTAAGCATGCTATGATGACCATTGGGCTATTGAATCTGCTCTAAGCTGATGTTAAACTTTTGTGTGTGTGCCTTTAGCCCATAAGCATACTATGATGAAGTTTGTGTGAATTTGTAACGCATGTGTGTTAATATTAAACTACAATGATGACTAATCAGTAATCCATTCTTATAGTGGACTAAAACTTACATTTGTGGTTATTGCTCGTTCAAAAACACAAAAATAAAAAAAATCAAATTTCAAAACCCAAAAGCAAATTATAACCACAATCATACACCAAAAACCAAAGTACATTTGCATTTAGTGAGTTGGTAGTTCAATCTTGAAAAATGATCTTGTCATCTTCTTCAAGAATGAACTACCCTAGTAGAACTTCATGTGTCTCCACCATATTTTTTGCTGGACCATTTTGGTCACCAATAACTGCTGCACTTCTCTCATACAATTCTTCTTGTAGTTGTAGAACATAAGGCAATGTCTCTTCCCTATGCATGGCATCCTTTTCCATGTGTGGCACATTGTAGTTATTTCCTCCCTCAACCTTTATTGGCCGTGTTTGGAAAACGGCTTATCAGATAGCTTTTGGCATGTTTGACTGACTTTGGTTTTTTTGACTAAGCAAATAGCCAAAACTATTGTTTGGCTAATGGTTTTTCACTTGGCATTTTGATCTAAAAAGCCAAAATCTGAAATGCCAAGGGGAGTAGCTTTTGGACTTAGCTGTTAGGAAAATTACTTTTTTAAAGTCATTTTTCTTGAAAGATATTTTATAATATATGTAAAATCTAAAAATAAAAATAAAAGTTAAAAATAATTAAATACGGAAAAAAATAAGTTTTAAAAATTAAAAATTTTAAAAAAATGGAATGAGAAAATAAAAGGTAAAAATCATTAAAAAGTTATAAATTTATAATTTCTTATGAATTAAATGAAAGTAAAATTTAATACTCCGTATAGTAAAGATTTTTTTTACATGTAAAAAAATTGAAAAATAAATATCATGTGTGTGTATATATATGTGTGTGTGTGTGAAAAACTATTTTCAAACAGCTAATTTTACCAAATATTTTTAACGATCAGCTAATTCATCATGCCGGTCAAACCAGCTGAACTAAATAACATTCATAACAGCTGGCACGAATTGCCAATAGCCAACAGGCAACATCCAAACAAGGCCATTATCTCTTGCATAACATGTTGGCAAGTCAAGCTCACTTTGTTCAGTGTATGTTGTGAGAACTAATTGTATGCATCTTGGACTGCTTGCATTAACTCTGTCACATTGGTGGGAGCAGATTGCTCTTTCAATGATTGTATGACCCTAAAGAAACTCAAATTTAAAATGTTTAAGTTTGGTGAATTAGGGGTTAGTTTATTAGGGTAATGTGGAAACCATTACTAGTGCTTGCCATGACAAGTCTGGATCATTTTCAAGAATGTGAGGCCCATCGTTATCTTGTTGAATCACAATTTCCTTGCTCAAGATATTTGGCCATCTCTTTTTGATAGCAGGCAAGACTCTGTGGAGCAGCGTGTCTTTAAAGACTTGTTTTGTCACAACAACTATTGGTTTGATTTCCAGTGAATCTACTTCTCTATTCTTGCTTTTCCTCTTTGTTGTCACACTTTCTACAAAGGGGAAAATCCCTACCTTACCATCCCATAACACTTCATTCTCATCTGAAATTACAGGTCTTCCAACAAATTCTAGGAACATGATTTTTGTTATAAATCTCTTAGATTGACATGTTCTATAGGGTTCATCCTCCTCTATGGTCAAATAGTAGCGTTGAGATGTTTTTGTCAAAAAAACACTTCTCATCAATGTGTAAGACATTTTAAAGCTTTTAAAGGTCGGGTTTGAGGCAATACCAGCTTCTTTTAACAGCTGCAAACAGAATAACAACCTTTGTGTCTTGTTTGCATCAGTAAGTGAGCGCTTTATTGCATTCGTATGACTTCATAGAATACCTCTTTTAACCCATTTGTGAATGGACTTACAAATTCCAACTGCTGAGGCCAATGTCTTTATGGTGGTTCTCCTCCGCAATGGAATTTTTGAAATTGATTCCATGTCCACATATACTCTCTTCCTTCCAACCTTTCCTAGCATTTAAGTACTCACATCAATGCAAGAACCTTTGTGTAGGTGTGCCTTTGCCTTTGTCCACAATGAACTAATAGTTCTTCTACTAACATTGAACTCAACACCAGCATTTTTCACAGCACCCTTCTAAGCAGTTTGAGTCCAAAAGAATTTGTTTGTGAATGTAGTACAAGTTCTCGATTATTCCTTGCCTTTGAGAGTTTGATAGCCTTTTTTTCTTTTATGTGCTATGTTTTCCTCTTCTATTGGCAGTGTTTGTATTTGATTAGATGGCTCCAATCCTGAAGTGGAAATGACATCAAAGGCAGCACTAGAGAAAGGAAAAAGAAAGCCTGTCTGACATGGCATAGAGAGAAGGAACAAAAGAGATGAGGTTTCTTAGGGGAGAAAAGAAAAGAAGAGAAAGAGAGAAAGTTGCAGTCATGAGGTGAACAAGGTGCTGGGTAGTGAAGAAGCAGTGAAGAAGAAAAAAGTGCAGTGGAATGTCTAAATAAGGAAAGGCATTATTTATGCCCTAGTGATGGTAAAATTTGGGAGGGATTTTTCTATTTTATGGGGGGAAATCCATTGTTTTGACTATTTTGGATTTTTGGGTAGGTGAACTACCGAATGGGGTCGTACTTTTAAAAGTGTGATTATCACGAATCATTTCAATATTATCCCACTTTTTTCTCTCATTCCATTACAGCACACGGTTCCTCATTTACATTAAACAAAAGTAAAACATATGTTCTTGCCCAATGTAGTACTTAAACTTTTTTATTTCCTAAATAGTACTTGAATAATATCTAGTGTGGGAACAATGTCCATTGATGGTGAATATTTAGTTTGAACAAAGTCCAGTGGTGTTGGATATTCATTTGAACAATGACCAATGAATATTGAATAGTAGTACTACATTAGGAAATAAAAACATATGGTACTACATTAAAAAAATTAATGTAATTTCAAACTATTTAGATAATTTGTGTACCCGGTCAGACGGCTCAGACCCGGAAGATAAAACTTGGAGGGAGTACTAAAAATGTAAAAAAATTACTTCCTCCGTCCCACTGTCTTTGTCCACTTACCTTTTGGCACACCATCCAATGCACTTCTTTAATCCATTTTATCTTGTAATTTGTATATTAAAAAATTATAGAAATTATATATTAATAATCTATATGTTAAGACAAATCAAACATGACTATATTTAGACTTAAACATTGAGAGATTTGATGAGTCAAAGTGCTTAGATGAACAATTTCAAAAGTGACAAAGATAGTGGGACTAAGTACTAGGAGGACCGGTCATTTTGAAAGAACGGATGATCATTCTACCGTGAGTTCCATCTCTACATCCCTGTTTCACTTTTTAGATCTCAAAGTCGAGCATTGATGATGACGTCCAAGGAGCAATTGATCCGCGCCGGCGGTGTAGGGACGATGTACGTGCAGATGCACTCAGAGTCTTCAACGTTGCCGTCGATGTCGTCATCTTTGCTGACGCCTCAGCAACAGCAGCAGAGATCCGAGGCGGCTCATATTTTTGATGAGTTGCCTAAGGCTACCATCGTCCAGGTGTCTCGTCCCGACGTTGCCGATATCAGCCCCATGCTTCTTACTTATACGATTGAGTTTAAATACAAACAGGCAATATTTCTTTACTCGATTATATATATATATATATATATATATATATATATATATATATATATATATATATATATATATATATATATATGTCATGAATATGGATTGGAAACAAGCACCGTAAAGCTTCTCAGTTTTCATTTTTCTTTTACTATTTCAAACGTTAAGGAGTAATGATTTTTACAGTAAAAGAAATCATTTACTCTCCGTACTATGTTAATCTTGAAAATTTTTAGCAACGCTGAAACCCACACCTATTTTGGTGCTTGTAATATTTAATCCTCTATTTAGTTTTGAAAGTATCAGGAATAGACCATTAAAACACTAACTTCGCAATTCTTGGCACTGGAATTAGTTTGATTTTTTTTAAAAAAATTGCTTTGCGATCTTTCTGCTCACAGAAGAGACTCTCTTTCTCCTGGTTTTCAGAATCTTGAGTTTGAATGAAACTTCAAGTTCAGGTCCCTGGAGGTCAATTGAGTACTGAAGTCTCACTGAAATTTGAATTTAAATTTAGACTATAAATGTTACCAAGAATGATGTAGCATAAAGTCGGATACTGGCTTATATCATGGAGGTGGGGAGAACATAACTTGTTTGATGCGCCAACATATTTGGTTGTCTTCTGGAAAACCAAAGAAAAGAGCGTTTAACAGTGAACCCGGAATTGGTGATTGCATGGATTTAGAAACTCTAGACTGGATTGCTTGTGCGTGGATTGATAAGAAATCCTTCGTTTTTTATGAGATACTCCCTCCGTCCCACTCTCTTTGGCCACTTTACTTTTGGAACAATTACCAAGTAAGTGGGACAAGAGAGTATAGAAGGACTAAAATGCCCTTATGGGCCTTGATGAGAAGGATAGGAAAAAAAGTTATCAAATCAAATTGATAACTGTAGGAAGCATTAAGCATTACAAATGTACTGTACAAAGCACTTTGGAGTGCATTTTCCTCCTTTAACCACACGTGAAGTTGAAAAAAATTGCCTCCAAATCTAAATTTAGAACCCCTGCTCTCTTTCTTAAAAATCAATGGAAGCCAGATTATTAAAATTGCCTTTTTGGACGGTGCATGATAATCCAGTGGAATAGTGAAGCTTGGATCAAATTCGAGCTTCGCAGCTTCAATGAATGGATCAGAAAGAGGGACTCCATTTATTTTTCTAGAAAGATCAGATCTATGCAAAATGATGAGAGAGTACGAGATCGGATCTAAGCTAGATGATGATAGAGAACAAGATCTGTTCTAAGCAAAAATATGAGAGAGAACGAGATCGGATCTAAAGTAGAAGAACATGAGAGATAACAAGATTGCTTCACAAGAGATGGGTAGGAGGAGACGAAAGGAGAAGGATCTAGAATGGAGAAGGAGCTTAGCCAGACATATACAGAGTAAGATGAGGCGGAGTAAATGATGGGTGGATAGGAATATGAGGATATTAATGGAGGGAGTGATTTTATTGGCATGAAGGGTAAAACAGACTTTTAGATACGTTTTTTCTTACCAAATTAAGTAAGTGGACAAAAACAGTGGGACGGCCCGAAAAGGAAAAGTAGACAAAAACAATGGGACGGAGGGAGTAATTGTTCTTCAGTTGTATGCATATGCATACAAATAAAGAGTAAGATGTTACCTTATTTGGTTGTTTTAAGCCACAAGTTATTGAAGGTAAGAGTAGCTTTTTACATCCCTCGAACATTGATACTCTAGTCAATTGTCACTTCATTTTTTTAATGAGATGACTGTTCTTCAGTTTACCCCAGACCCTATTTTTTGTGGGATTCTATTGGGTTTGTTGTTATTGTTGTTATTGTTGTTTGTTCTTCAGTTTTATGCATACAAATAAAAAGAAAGATGTCACCTTATATGGATGTGTCAAGCACTTGCACTTAAGCCACTGGTTAAAGACTTTCTTTTTACATCCTTGAAACATTGACAATGTACTTGGGCCTTGAAAATATAGAATTTCATTCAGTATGGAAATCTAAATTTGGGCTGTCCTAAATCTGAGGAAATATCTAATAATCCCAAATTTACGGCAGACACACAAAATGGCCCCATATTTAATGACATTTGAATGCTGTCACGAAAGATGCTGACATAACATAACAGTCCTGATGATTTTCTGTTATACCCCGGGTTACTAATATGGAATCCCAAGTCCTTAAACAAATCAATGGATTAATGTCTAGGTGTCTTGATCCTTTTTGGAATGAATTTATCATCAAAACCCAAATCCTAGCCATAGTCCTTTTGGATTACTAAAGGCCGAACCAATCACCCCAAAACAACCCAAACCACCATCAAAAGGAGACCATCTTGTACTCCCCTCTTTGGCCGAAAATCCTTCTCCTGTTTTTCAACAAAATTTATCATGTTTTTGACTAAAATAAACACTTAAAACCCACCCCATAATCTGGCCAAAATCCCTGTCCATTTTAAGTCAAAAGGTGAACAGTAGCTATTTGTCTCTTTGTTGACTTCTCTCACAATCAAACAAAGAGAGTCATTCCCCTTTCTTTCCTTCAATAAAAGCCGAGCTAGGCCATCCAATAAAACCAAGGAAATCAACTTTTATAATCTCCATATCATCTTTCTTGAAATCACACACAAGATG